AAAAAAAAAGAAAAGAACGACTCCAGAAAAGAGCAGACCGAGATAGATCTCTCCGAACGATCCGCTCCCAATCTTCCGACCGAGTTTGAATTTGTTTCCAACGCGGGGCTCCATGGCGCAAAATTCCCGCAGAATCAACAACTCACAAACAAGAAAATTAAAAGAAGAAGAAAAAGAAAGGGAGGAAACCCTAGGATTAAATAAAAACAACTCCAAGGCGCAAAATCCCGGGGAAAAGGACAGAGACCATCACGGCCTTAGATTGGCTGCTACAAGGCCGGATAGATCATCATCGTCAATCAGAATTCGGCCGCGGAAGGAAATTACGAACACGAGAGAAAACAGAGGCGGAAAATTGTGAAACCTAACCGTTCCTCATCGTAGAAATTTAGGGCTATTGGAGAGTAGACGAAGACGAAGACGAGGAAGACGAATAGAAGGACGAAGAGACATAGAAAACTCCTCTCCTCTCGAGTTTCTGTTTCTGTTTCTCTCTCTAGTTTTGATCCAATCGAAGCGGAAATGGCAAATTGCTTACAATCCTTTATTAAAGGGCTTTGTCTTTTCTTTTTTGTTTATTTATTTATTTTTGGTTTCGGATTCTTCGCATAACAACGACGTCGTTTTCTTCTTCTTCAGCGCTTAACCCAAACGCTGAATTGTCTCTGCCCTGTCATGTAGACGTAGACACACAAGGAATCTAATTATATTCATATTCCTAAAATACTTTTGGTTTGTAATTTCATTCTGTTCTTTTTATACGTGCGTGAGTGTCTCTCGACGAGTTTACACGTATCTCGACTAATCTCATAGCATAGTTATTTGACTGTGCAATATTTGATGTTGAAAATTTTGAATTTTATTTTTAATTGGTTCGTGAGATTTGAATTTGATTTCTAATTGGTTCATGAGTTGAGTTAAGTGTTAGTTGACCTAATGTAACGATGATGTGTCATTTAACATATGTTGGTTAGATAATGTTAGGTTTCTTAAATGACTCAATACAAATATTGACGAATCTAGTTGAGTGTTGAGAAATTTGTCGATTCACATTCTAGATTCTAACCTAAATGTTAAATTGGAGATAAACGAAGAAGAAGAGTTGTGGTGTTGTTTGGAAGAGTGGCAAAAATGAAGGATAAGAGAAGGGACGGAGGAGAGGAGGAGAGAAAAATGTCACTTGGACAAGAGAGAATAAAGAATAATAAAATTTTTCATTGATTTAAAATATATCACAGAGTATATGTAACTATCGTATCATCATTTTGTTGGGTCAACTTAACTCAAAAGCTAGTTAGAAACCAAATTCAAGTTCATGAACCAATTAAAAACCAAATTCAAACTTAAAAAAAAAAAACATGCATTTTTTAAATTTTAAGGATTGAATTGAAATTAAATTTAAACCTCAATGACAAAAAATGGTATTTTTTAAACTGTGAGCCAAATAAAAATGAAGTCCAAACCTCACAAAATCAAAAGTGTATTTTACCCTATTTATATTTACATACATTCAAAATAACTATCATCTACCCTATTTATATAAATATCCCAATACGATATTAATTTTTTAACGTTTCAATATCTAATTAAATTAATACAGACTCATTCCAAATAAGAATAGCAATAGAAAATTAGTCTCTATTTTGATGGAGTACGAGGAGGTGGAATATTTGTGTTGTCTCTATTTCAATCTAGTTGATAACTCCACGTTCAGATGTTGACTGTCAAATTACCTGTATTAGATGTCGTTAAAATCTGTATGGGTGATTGTGGCGTTTGTTTATTAGGGTACTAGAGCATGTGTGATGGACATTCATGTATCCAAAAAAGGCATAGCTGAAATAAATAAGTGGATTTTGTTAACCTGTAAAAGGGACTTTAGAGGAAACAATAATGAATGAAATGCCTCCCTCCAATCAAGCATAGAAATTAATAATATAAAATATTAGTTTGCCTTTGAAAGCTACGTGTCTTTTTTTATTTTTTTATTATTATTATTATTATTATTATTATTATTAATTTACATAATTGGATAATAAATAGCAATCTTTATAATTTTCAGTGACATAATTAAAACAACCTTTTTTTCATAAATCTCGATTAAAAAATCGGACGTTGGTACTAAAAGGAAATGTAGGGTAGAATGTGATGTTAATGGTTAATGATGTTATAATAATTATTTTATTAATTCTAACGGTGGGTTCGATCCCTTACCCCACTTATTGTACTTAAAAGAAAAAGTTTATACCATTTTACATTTGTTTTCTTAAATTATATTTTTGTAATTTTATTTTTTAACAATTCCAACCCCTACATTTTTAGAATATTTATTTTAATTTTTGTACTTTCGACTTTTGTCTATTTTAATGAATATAATTTCAAAACTTTGCGTGTTTATTCTCTTTAATTAAAGTGACTAGTTTGACTCTTATATATATCAGCACAATTTAACATAATATAATACTGAAAAAGATTCTTGAGACATTTTAAACTCTATATCCAAAGGCTTTTTTTTTAATGATATAAAATTTGTGTTAGGCTTTCCTAAACAGAAACCAAACCAATATTTTCTTAAAAATATAGGGACCATGATAGTAGTCGATTCTAGCCCAATTATGACATTAGAATGAAAATATCTAGTTTTCAAATTTAAGAAATCTCAAAAAAGTACCAATAAAATAAGTACCAATAAACTATTACTGACGGTTAGTTATTCATATTGATATGGAACTCCAAACCATTCAACTTCTTGACAATAATACCAATTGTGTATCGCAAAACTGACTTGATTTCGGAAAATTAAAGATGTCATTTCACGCCTCTATATGAAGGAGACTTTTTTGTATACAATAATTAAAGGAGGTGGGAAATATGTTGAAGCTGAACCTGTTTAATAATGGTGTCTAGGAATCGAAGATGTTCAAGTTATTGGCTCATCCAACTTGAGATCATCACAAGTCATTAGTAAATAGCCGCTACACTGTATTGCCAAGAGACTATAATCACAGTGATCCTCCTATTCAACTAACTTCAATCATTTTCGAATATGAATGATTTATAGATTGAGACATATTTAGATCTTGTAAAATAATGTTATGTAACATTCTTAGGTGGATATAGTTGTATGGACAAGACAATGTAACAATAAATCCAAATTCCATAAGAACACATAACCACAAACATTTTTGTGAGCCCATTGAATACAAAGTTTGGGAAGAGACAATTTGCCTGCCAATCCCATCTAATAAGCTCAACAAACTTGGGAAATAGCCCACTTTATTGCCCTTGAGAGCTGGACACAATGGGATGGAATTGGGACATACAAAAAGAAAAAAAAAAATTCTATATATAAATTAACAAAAATTAATTTAAGAATTTCTATTTTTGTTATTTTTGTTCCTAAACTTTGAGAATATTTATTTTAGTCTTTGAAAATTTTAAAATAACTATTATGGTTTTTATCTTGATTTGATTTTTAAAAATAGATAATGTAGGCCTTGTTAGATAATAATGTTGTTTATTAAAATTAAGCTTGTAAATACTGCTTTCACTTATATTTGTTTGCTTTGCTATCTATTTTTATTTTTTTTCAAAATGTAAATTAAATTTGAATAGAAAAAAAAATCTTCGAAAAAATTGCCTTTATTTTTGAAATTTAGCTAAAAATTCAAATGTATTTCTTAAAAGCATATCACATAGTAAGCAAATTAACATAAATTAAAAAAAAAAAAGAAAAAGTAGAAAGCTTAGATCGAAATGATTATCAAGCATGACCGCAATTTCTATGGCTGACGTAGACATGTATTAAAGGGGCCACAAAAATTTGTTGGGACTAAGACTAATATAGGACTAATATTATATCAGTAGATTTTAGGTGATAAAATAATATTAAAAAAAAATTGTTACTTGTGTAGAAGAGGACCAAAAAAAGAAAATTGGCACCAAAATGAAAACGAATCACTTAAAAAATTTAAGGTCTTAAGATTATGAAAAAATGGATATTTCTAAAAATATGTATATGGATAAACTTCTATTAATAACCATCTTTTTTATTTAAAAAAACAAGAATAAAATAATTGATAAAAATAGGCACTGAATTTTTTTTTTTATTGAATTACTGAATAATTGAAGTAGGAGGAAAAGTCTATGCAAGCAATAATATTAGTCAAGCCAAGATGTGGTTACAACAATGATATTATTCAAGAATAAATTGAAAGGCTCAATATTCAATTCCTTTTTATTTATTATTATTTATTTATTGTCTTCTTATTACTTTGATCAAATAATTAATTAAAAAAAAAGTGAGAATGGAATTATTGACAAAAATTTTAGTTTTTTCATTGATATCACTTTTGAAGTGACAGCCGTCATTGATTAAAAAAGAAAAAGCAATAATGTGTAAAATAACACTCAATTCACAAAATTCAATTGATTTAACTAACTTTTTTGCGAGAACATATTTAAAAAATACATGTTTCCAAGACAGATTTTTATTTTCTAAACAATGAAGAATTATTTGAATATAGTTACATGAAAATCCCTTCCATTGGGGCTAATCAAAGTTTAGAATTGAGTAAAAATTAAGAGACAATAAATAGATTTTAAGAGTGAATTTTAAACCAAACTATAAAGAGCAAAAAAAAAAATTGAACTTATTCAGTAAAAAAAAATGAACTTTTAAAATCAAGGAAATGAAGAACAATTTAAGACTAAACTCGAAATCGAATATTTAAATATCCAATCCCACGTGTTAAGCTGAAAAAAAACCAAACTATAGAGATTAAATTGAAACTATTAAAATCACAAATACTAAATTGAGATTAAGCTCAGACTACTCGGACTAAATTCACAATTTAACCAAATATTATTTACCAAAATCCCTAAAACCGATCAAGAAAAAAGAAATTAAATACCCCATTTTATAGAAACTCGTCTACTTTTCCAATTCAACATTGAGAACTTTTATACAGTGGGATGGGCTGCAGCAAGCCAGCAACAGCCCTTTTTTTCTTTTTCTTTTTCCTGTGTGTTTTGGAATCAAGGGCTGTAAAACGAAGGGCCACACTTGCATTTCCAACCCTCGGGCTCATAGTTAGTGTATTGGACCCCCAAATGGCTGTGCCTGCTGGTGGTAGGCACCTGAATTGCTTCACATGGACTGCATCCATAGCACTTGTGCTGACAGCTCGGCGGACTTGACCCTATTTCCCTCATTCCTCTATTCACAGCTTCAAACCCCTTTAGAGAGAGAGAGAGAAGAAAATGAATCATTTCACAACACAGAGCACATAAACAGAGAAAGATAGAGAGAGAGAGGGGCTGACCTCTTTTGAATCGAAAGAGCCTGAGATAAGACCTGGCAACAACAAGAATATGGCCATTTAGGTGTAATAATTGGAATGAGAAAGCAAAAAAAAGCTCACAGTAATTTGGTAACAAACGGACCTTGTTTGTGGGGAAGGAGAGGAAGAGCATGATTTGGAGCAAAAGGTCTGGTTGCAGCAGAAACCCAACAAGAACAAGCTATTTGCAGAGTCAATATAAAACAACAGAATGTTCCTTTCATGTCTTCAAAAGCCAAGAAATGATAATGATGATTATGATGGGCAAGAGATGGTGAATGGAATCAAAAGGAAAAGATTTGGTTTATAAGAGTAGACGAAGGTGGAGGGTGGAAGGAAAAGGAAATAAGCCTATCAAGCAGCTTCACATTTCCCCATGGCCAAAGTCAGAGCCTCCCTATAATTTTTTGTTTTGTTTCGTTTGGTTTCTTACTGGCAGAGAGATTTTGCGTTTGCAATTGCAAGCAACCGATCCCAGTTTTCTTACCAAAGAGTTATGGAGCAAAGTCAGGAAAAAACTTTCTACTGCTCTATTTATTTGCTTCCTTCTCCCCTCGTACGACAACTCACCATGGAGAAGAGAACTTGGCAATTGAAAGAGTGCAAGAAACGACCTGTTGAAATGCCCCTTTTCTTCTTCTTTTGTGGTTTTTGTCGCCTTCCAATACAAGCCAGGCTCTCTCTCACTCACTGCCAAATCAGTCTAGTAAATGTACCAATGCAGTGATCTCTACAAGGGCAGGCCCAGCCACCCCTTTTTCTTTCTAGCCTCTGGCATACCTGCAGAAGCAATGTAAATTTTCACCAGAGAAAAAGATATAGCTACCTAGACTGCAGCGCCTTTATTTCACTCTGATAGTTTCATTCCTATTTAAAGAAGAAAAGATCCATTGACAGAGGGGCTATTTATGCAGAAGAAGGGAAAAGGCATCAATGTCTGAGCACATTCAGCACGGCAGAAAATTTTTATTGAGTTAGTTAATAAATTAAGGCACTTCCAATGGGGTCAACCTTTTACAGATTAGTAGGTTGAGAACATAATAGGATGCTGTGCCAAATCCAATCCCAGCCATCCATTTAGCTCATAGCCAAGATGGCAATCTGGGGAGGGCCCCAATGGCTTTTGCTTTACAGTCCCCAATAAATGAAGTTAGATTTCATCCACACCACAAATTATCAGACTCTAATTTCTCTGTTTCCTCAGTCACCACTACATTCTCCCTTCCTATTATGAATCAATCATACACTATATGCTCTTTCTTTCTACTTAGACAAAATTCAAGACATTACAACACCCAAAATTGAAGTTTAATAATTTATTTGACTCTATTTATAGAATTTTGACCATTGATCAGTGATGTCAAAGTTAAAACCTGGGAAGAAAGCATTAGGCTCAAACTGTCACATAAGCAAATAATCAAACAGATAGCAGGCACTAATTAGTGGTCTCTCTCCAAAATCCCAATTGTAAGCAATAAATGAAGTTAGATTTGATCCAGACCATTCAAATTTTCTCTGTTTCCTCAGTCACCCCCACATTCTCCCTTCACATCATCATGTGATTCATGACATTAATTTGTAACACTCAAAATGAAAGTTAAATCGTTTATTTCTCAAATTTTAGACAAGTATGGTCAGCGATGTCAAAACTAAAACCTGGGAAGAAGGCTCGAACTGTCACATAAGCAAATAATCAAACAGTTGGCAGGCACTAATTAGCGGTCTCCCGGTCTAGCTAGGACAAAGAAGAGAGGGCCGGGCGGGGCACTGAATCACTGTTAAAGCGGCTCGAATGAGAGAACGAATATTGTAAAACAAAAAATGACGAGTAAAAAATAATTCGATAAAAAGGGATAAGCAGAGAACGTACTTTAAGCATCAAATGCATCTAATATACATTTTCAAGTAAGTAGCTGTCCTCTGCAATATCGTCTGGCTGATTTCTTATGGATATCTGCGTGATTTGAGTGATTTGATTATTCGATCTGCTACATTTTCTTTCACTGTTCTTCTTCTTCTTCTTCTTCTTGACCAACCCAAAAGAAATCTTGGCGATTTCCCTCAGCGGCTCCAGAAAAGGAAAGGCGAAGAGCCAGCTTTAGAATTTCGGCCATTGTAAGCGATCTTCGTAGACAAAACAGGGAATCGCGGAATCTCAGAGAGAAGCTCCTTCGAAAAATGCTGGCGGGTAAGCATTTAAAAAATATCCATATCGTTTTTTTTAATACATTAAAAATACATTTTAAATAAATATATTAATATTTCGAATAAAAACTCGTCAAATTAAATCTGAAAATAGAAGAAACAGGGAAGGACGATAGGGACTTTTTAGAAGAGAATTAATGCAAAATTGATAATTTTCTATTAATAACGGAGAAATAAGATTTTTAGAATAGAATTAAGTCTAAGAAGAAGAACATAGGTCCCTTAATTACTACCTCGTTTCATATTCTGTTGCATCAGCTTTTAATTTAAAATATGGATGGATTTTGTTCAAATAATATTTTTGAAACTCATGAAAGGTAGTAGTGGAACTTTTGAAAAGATAAGAGTATTTTGTAAAAATTTAGGGACCTCGTCTTCGAATTAATCCCAAAAAAATTTAACAACTTTCTATTTAAAAAAATAAATAAAATACATCATTCATTTTTGCATTTTACTTTCGCGATAATCTTTATTTTGAAAATATATGTACAATTAGTTTTTGCATAAAGTTCACATTTTATCCTTATATTTAGTTGTATGGTCAAATTATTTAGATAAATGGTAAAATTGCAAAACTAATAACCTCGTTCATTTGAGTTGCAGATTTATAGTTTCGTGGTTGAATTTGTTAAATAATATTTCCCAAGCTTGATCAATAAGTCTCTGGAAGTCACTGGATCAAGTGTTATGCCAAGCTTGATCAAGAAATCTCTAAAAGTCACTAAGTTAAGTTGTTTGCCAAACTTGCTCAATAAACTTTTCTTTGGAGAGTTGAAGTAACCAGAAGCTACCAGAGTGTAAATTATAGCAAGATTGTGACCACACGATCACCATCTTATCCAAGGCCCACTATATTACAAATTGAGTTGTTAACTAATTATTATACCTAAATAGGAATTTTCTACGTAAAATCAAAGTGTCCTATTTTTTGCCTTATTTTTCTTCATTATTTCTTCTTGCTGCGGTGTTACTCTATTCGCTCCCGATGTATCCTTTTCCCAACAAAATTTGAATAATCTTTTGAACATTATTTTCCGTAATTATAGTGGACTATTTTATTTTAGTTGAATTTTGAAATTTATAATTGTTCAGTTTTCAATGCTTCAAAGCAGAACATGAGATCAAAAAACGAGTAACGACAGGACTTTGAATTGAAAACGATTCAAGGCTCTGTTTGTTTAGTGAGAAAATCTAGGGAAGAACGGGCAAGAAAACGCACCTCGTGGGAAAATTTCATGGGAATGGCCGGGAAAAATAAAAACAAAAAAACACGCCGCCATCTCAATCACGGCCCACGAATTCCCACGTGTGTATGTTTCAAACAACATTTTTTTCAAAAACATTTCAGACAACATTTTTAGTTTTGTCATCTTTTTTTGATAATTTCTATCATTTTCCTTTATCAATAACATTTCAAAATAGAAGATAAAATACCACTTCTGACCTTGGTTCATTTTGATTTACATATTTTCAAAATGTCTATTTTTACTTATGTATTTTTAACTTTGTTTATTTTAGTTATTGTACTTTTAAAACGTTTATTTTGATCTCTGTACTTTTTAAAAATTACATATTTGATCCCTATTTGAAAAAGTTTTAATAATGAATTTTAATTTTGTATTATACTTTCTAGGCATAATGCAAAATTAAAATTCATTAGTAGAACTTTTTGATATATAATGATTAAATTTGTAATTGATAACGCCTTCAAAGATAGTCAAATTGGCAAGAGTTTGGGGACTCTAGGTCATATTGATTTAGTGGTCTTAGATTCGAACCTTCTAGTAAACTTAATACCAAAAATCCTTAATGTCGGATCCGAGCTTTAGGACAGGTACGGATGCCCTTGGATATAGCGAAGTAAAACTCCGATCCCCGGTTATCAAAAAGAAAAAAAGTTTGTAATTGATGACATTTCTTAAAAAAAAAAAAAGTTTACAATTGATGGAAAAAGACATATATATGAAAAATAGGATAGGGTGAAATAGATACTTGATATTGGAAAATAATCTTGTATCACGTTACTATTTTTATAGAAATTTTTTGATACGTGTAAAGTAAAATTCCAAATTTTAAAATATTTTATACAACATTAAAGAAAATGTTATGTACATGTTTAGCCAAAGTGGATTGAGAAATTCAAAGTTAATTAATATAAATTTAATATCAATTAATTTTAGTATGATTGAAATGATATGCCACTAATTTAAATTAAGTAAGTAATTATTATTGACTAAAAGTTGGAAGCTGTCGATTTGGCCCTCCCTCTGTTTCATATTCAAATTCAAAGCAAACGGGTTTCAACGTAGGAAGTGTGTTCCCCTGCTCGACAAATACTGAAAATGATTTTTCATTTTTTGCTACTAAAAACAAATATTTTCCACATTTTTTCTTTTAAATCTCTGTAAATCATAATTTACTCTCTAATATAGATTACGGGTGGGATTACTTTCAAAATAAAAGAATGTCAAGGATAAAATTTCTAATATCCCTTTTTTAAGTATTAATGATCTAATTCCAAAAGTTTAAGTCGATGGATTAATCGCTTACGAGTTAATTTAATATCTTACGGCTATAGATACTTTAACATATTCTCCACTTCTATATATATATATATATATAAAACACTGTGGCATCTCTGGTATCATTGATAACACACTTAGATTATTATAAAATTATAAAAGTAAACTTAAATCCTAAATAGGTTTATTTTATTTTGGTCTCCAAACTTTTAAAATATTTATTTTGTTCACATAACTTTTAAAAACTAACTATTTTGGTTATTATCTTATTTCTTTTTAACAAATTGATAACATAAACATCGAATATGTGTACTAACGTGTTAATATAGCAAGAATGAATATGTTTATTTTTAAAAGTATAGTAACTAAAATAAATGTTATCACGAGGTGAATAAAGTAAAGCTCAAATCTATGAACAAATTGCGTAGAAGCCTATCAACCTTACTTCATACAAGGCCTTTGGGTTTAGAAATGATCCAAAATGCTGTGTCTGCGAGCATGAACCTTGCAGGTCTAACACCCAAGTCATGCACCATGAATAATCAAGTTCGTTCGTGGACATAAATCAAGAGGCTGAGCCCATATGTCGAGCGGCCTATGGGGTTGACCCCCACGGGCCGAGCCGTGAGCTTATAGGTTTGAGTCCCTTGGACCGCTTTCTGTGAACTCTGTATAAGTAGAAAAGAAAGTCTGATAATCGAAATATACAATGAAATCCAAATTCTCGCTATGCCTAACACAAATCCAATTCAAACTCAAGCATTAGAATATTTGTGGGTAACACGACATCAGTGTGTAATCTCTTTATCTTGCAATTAAGTTCAACCAAATCCTTTTATTCAAAAGAATGTTACTAATTTAGTCATTCTTCTAAGCCAAATTCAGACATTATTAACAATAAACGTTTTAAAAGTTTCAAGTATCGAGTTGATTATTGTTTTTAGGTTGATCAATAATCAAAAGTGAGAGAAAGAGGGGAAAAAAAGAAGAAGTAGAAATGGAGATTAGAATTAATAGAACGCGTTTAAGAAGGTTTAATGGTGGTATTAATATTAAAATGAGAAGTGGAATAATGGAAGTACGATGGAAGGAAGACCAAAAACAAAGACTTGGGGTTGTGTTGTTTCAAGTTTGACGTGTAAAGAAAAATGATGCCAAAGTCGTTTCAGCTTGGAAATTCTCTGACGCTCTCATTGGTCAAATTCTTTGGCCCACTTTTTTCGCCTCTATGAACAGTCAAATTCTCTCTTTTCTTTCTTTTTTTTTTATTTATTTATAAAATTAATCACAAATATTTAAGACTTAAACATATGTTATTTAAATACATCATCATATAAGATGTCCGTATTTAAGTACGTGACAGATCAGATGTGTTCTGTTAAACAAAATTTAAAACTTACGAAAGATATATAGTTGTGTTTTAATATGCAAGATAATTTTAGGATGGTTTTTGTTTAAAATATTATAATTTGAACAACAATCAAGATTTCAATCTATATATGATCTCTTACTAATAAATTTATGTGTTTCTCTATGTTTTTTTTTATCCAAATGATTTTTAGGGTCTGTTTTTNTTCTAAAATATAAATAAAAATATTATTTTGTCATCTCTTTAATGCACCATAAATACAACATACAAAATTTGAATTTTGAATTTGAAATTTTAGTTTTCATTTAAAAATTGTAGAGAACAGGGAAGAAAAAAAAGAAAAAAATAATTTTCAAACACAAATTTATTTTCCCTAATTGAAAAAGAGCTAGAGAAAATGAAAAACGGAAAACTAGAAAGTGTAAAAAAAATAAGAAACGTGAACATTATTCAACGATCCCATTAGAAAATTATGATAGCAAAATAAGGTAATAGTTAACCTGAACATCACTTTCAAGTCGATGGAATTAATATCTATATTTCTATTATGAGCAGTTAGATTTGAATTCTAACTTATATTTAACACCTAATATCTAAAAATCCCTGACTTATATTTACAACGTAATATCTAAAATGAAAACAAATAAAATAGTAAATATTAAGAAAAATCTTTGAACCAATGGAAAATTTTACTCCTTTACTTTCACATAAAAGTCTATTATTACCATGGATGCTAACTTTATGTAGACACACAATATGTAAATTAAACCACAAATATTTCTATAGTTGAAAATATATGCTAATTACCACTGAACTATACTCGTTTTAATTTAAATTTTAAGATACGATCATCATAATATAGAAAGGTAAGCTACGGATATTTTACTTAGTCAAATTTGAGTACACGCAATATTGTCAATTTAGTAAACGGATATATGGGATTTTCCGCTTTTTGGTGAAGGTAGAAGTGGAAAATGGGTTCAATTTTATCTCTGTCAAAAGTCGATAAATTGAACTTGTCAATTAGGTAAAAATTAAAACTTCAACTAAAATCGAATGGGTTGTCCAAAAACTCTATAACTACAACCAAAAAAAAAAGGAAAAAAAATCAACAAAAATGAATCAATCTGATAAAAATTGAACTGAGCATAATATTTTCTAACTTTATCAAATTGGATCATTCATAAGTAGTTCCTAAAAAAAAACTCATTCATACGTAGTTTACAAACTAAATTTACATTTACCATGTTTAGTGATTAAAAAAAAATCTTCTCAATAGCAATGTATTCATTAATATTGAGAAATAGTTTATATATTTAAAAATTTCTCAAATTTCGCAATTTTAACATATTTGTTCCAAAAAAAAATATATTTGAAAGATTTATAAGTTGTAATTACAATTTAGGCTAAATTACAATTTTAGTCAATTTCTTTTGTTCTGTTTTTTTAGAAAAACTCTATCTAATAAGTTTTTAGATTTTAAAAAGAGTCTAATAGGTATATATATACAATTTTAGGTCTAAATAAATTTTGTATGTAATAGATTCCAGCGTATTTGATTTTTTTTAATTAATAGATCCATTAGACATAAAATTGAATTTGGTGTCTAATAGGACGACTCTATATTTTCGAGTTTTGGTCTAATATATTTGTGAATTTTAAAAAATATCGAACAGGTCAATATTCTATAAATTGAAAGTTACGAGACCTAATAAATTAAAAGATATAACATTTTGGAATATTTTGTGAAGTACATGAATCAAATAGACACAAAAATGAAAATTCAGATACTTGTTAGATATTTTTTGAAGTTTAGAAAGTAAACTAGTAATTTAACCTATACTTTACCTAAATTTGTAGGTAGAAACTACAATTAAAAAATTGACAGTTATTTATTTATTTATTTATTTTTGAAGAAATAGTGCTTTTATTGATCAACAACTGCCACGGAGCTACTGGAGGGGAAATATATTTTCCATTTTAGTGATACGCAAAAGCCAAAATAGAAAATTACAAGTCCACGAAGAGGAAACTGCATCATGGAGGTCGTGTTTAGCTAAGATGTCCGCCGATCGATTGCTATCCCAATGAGCATGCACAAAGCCACAAAGGTTCATATCGAGAGCAAAAACACGGATGTCGTGAATCCAAACCCATTCAGGACCAAGGATTTCCAAACCACCACGAAGAAGGGATATCACAGTTATTTATTTTAATTCCTCCCTATTTCTTCGTGTATTTATATGTTTTAGTTGCGAATTTACGATGATAAGTTAAGTGAAATAATTAAGTTTTATTAGTAAATCCAAAATAAAGGAGAAATGACGATGAAATGACGTCATAAATATTTGTTGGTGTACGGTCACAGTCAGGGGGCGCACTGGTGACAAGGACATTGACATTGACCGGAACCAAAACAATGCTGTTCAAACAATCTCACTTTTTAAAATATTCAATTTCTTGTAACAATAAATATATAAAAAGGAAAACAATATCAATTAAAAATTAATGATATAAATTATAATTCAAGTAAGAATAACATTTTAAGATCGCGAAGAACTGACGATTTGTTTGAAAAGATGTCAAACTCTGATTTTATTTTACATTTTAGTTGTGAACTATCAAACTTCTTAAAAAGTTATTAAAATTTCAATAAAGTTTTATAAAAAGTTCTATTTTTTTTAATAAAAAGTAAAATAACTTTTAAAAGAGGCACTTATCTCAATAACGTTAAATAAATATAGATTTTAAGATGTTTAAAATTTGACCAAAATAGTAAAACAGAACTTGAACTTAAATAGAAATATAAAATACATTAAAGAATTATGTTATATTTTTTAAAATGTTATGGCATTTCTCAAAATATATTTAAAAAAAATTACATTTTGAAAAATTGATCCAATTACAAGAGTTGAAACATGTGGTATGGAAATTGGCTCAACCAACTTTGTTTCATCGGTTTTTACATAATCTATTTCAATTTTGTTTCAAAGAAACTAATTTGGGGACATTTTAAAATTTGCCTTTGAAATTTTTACCTTAAATTTAGGTATTTTTTTTACCACCATTTATTTGAGAGACCATTTAAATTAATGTCATAAATTAATTATTTATTTTCAAATATAACAGAGAGATAAATTTTACCAACGACATTACCATTCAAATATAATTAAAACTTTGAATGTAATACATAACACATTTAAAAAAAAAACCCTTATATCACATTTGAAAAGAAAAATAAAAAAGAAAAATGTGACAATTTTTAGAACACATATAAAAAGTATGCCATACAATGAAATTTCTCTTTTATTTTCAATAACCAATTTTGTAGATTGATTTACCTACTCGAGTCTGAATTTCGTTGAAATTAATGAATTTCGAGAAATTGTTAGTTTTTTATTTTTAATTCGGTAGATGCTTAAAATTATTACTCTTATTGAAATTTGCAGTCCAGTTTAATGGAAACTGAATATATTTCAAAGGAAACAATTTATTTTCCCAACACGCGTATCAAATGAACTAAATCCGAAACATATAAATTCATATTGTAACAAAATAAAACAACCTTTGTTTCAATAAGTAGGCACCTCGTGAAGTAGATTCCCATTTCCCACTATCTCTTACCTATTAATTTCCATTTTTTCCATTAAAATGAAAATTAAATATTATTTTGTTTTTATAATTTCGACTTTAATTCATTTTCAAACGTCTGTTTTGATCATCATATTTTTAATTTTTGTTCATTTTAGTAACTGTACTTTCAAAATGTCTATTTAGACTCTATACTTTTAGAAAGTAACTGTTATAGTCCATCCACATTTTCAATTTTATCTCGTTTATCTAGATCCTAATTCTAACATAACACGTAACTTTCTAAATATCTTGAAATATAGTCACAAGTTTGTAGTAAATAGTTTCTATTGTGTGTAAAAATGAAATTTGTAGTTTGAAAGGAAAATACTTGTCTCATTGGTGAAGACAACCATTGAAAATTCGACACCTCATAGAGTAAAAAAAATTCATATTTTTGTATTTATCACTTAGTTGTCAAATATTTAAGGGTGGTAGAGACAATGTTACTCCTTACCTGATCTAAGTATTTTTCATTTTGAAAATAAAAGTATTCTTGTCATCACTGAAAATTTAACAACTTATTATTATTATTTTAAATTTATATTTTTATATTTCTCACTCTATTCAAAATTTGACAAGTCTCACTGTTAATTGTAAAATATTTAAGACGGTGAGAATAACGTTGCTCTCGAGGTAAGAACTAAAATGGAAAAGAAAAAAATCGAAACTATGGGAAAATATGAGTTTCACAAGTTGTGTTGAACCCGTCAAAATCAAACCCCCTCGTGTTCGTGTTCGTGTTCGTGTTCTTGCAGCAAAATTTAAATTTCATTCAATTAAGAATTTCCATTCAAACCACTCACATTGACAGGTCCATTCTTTGGTTTTTGTTCTGCGTCTTCGACGGGGCCGAGGTTCATTCCATTTCTTCACTTCCTTTTTCCCTCTCTCTCTCTCTCTTCCCTATATATATACACAGCAATTAGCAATAACATTAACAACTTCGTCATCCTAAATCCCAACACAACAAAAGAATTAGGATTTTCTCTCTCTCTCTCTCTCTCTTCCACTCATTTTTTCTTCAGGTGGGTTCTCATTTCTTTCCCTTCTACTTTCTTTCATTTGATCTCGGATACGATCCGAGATGAGTTTGGGTGGGAGACTTGTATTTGTTAAGAACTTCATATTGAAAAGATTGAGAGATAATATTATTAGAGATCAACCAGCTCTTTCCAGCATTCATCCTGTGTGGTTAGAAACCTACCCTTTGAGCAAATTAACATTTTTAGGCTTAAGACGATGAATATGACTTGGTGGATTGACACATTTTATGAAGAAAGATTAAGAATTTGAGGTTTTGAGATATTAATTGATGTAAATATTTGGTCGTTTGTGCAGAAAATGTGTGCTGTGATAGAGAAGGCGGAGGCGGAGGCGGCGGTGTTGCCACCTGAGACGAAGAAGGGCATCCGGGGATTTAGGACGGAGAAGAATGCCGGGAATTTGAAGCTGCAGCCGAGTAGGAATGATTTTCCCTTTGGGAATTTCGCCGGAATCCCACTGCCCAGGTCGAGAAACTCCACTGCGGCGGTGTCTCCGGCCGGAGATCAGTTCGACGCCGCCGCCGTCAAGTTGCAGAAAGTTTACAAAAGTTACCGAACAAGACGGAACCTCGCCGATTGTGCCGTTGTCGTTGAAGAATTATGGTAATTAAACAAAACCCAGAATTTTTTTTTTTTATCTTTTTCGACAAATAATGACGAATCGAGTTTTCTGATTTTTGTATATATATATTTTTTTCAGGTGGAAGGCGTTGGACTTCGCAGCGCTACGGCGGAGCTCTGTGTCGTTTTTCGACTCCGACAAATCGGAAACCGCCGTGTCGAAGTGGTCAAGGGCCGGAGTAAGAGCCGCAAAGGTACTTTTTTTTTTTTTCTTCTTTTTCCTTGTGATATCGATAGTTAAATTATTTATAATTTATTTTTTCTTCTGTCAAATTTTGGACCAACTTTGTTCTTCAGAAAGTTTTCTCAAACTCGAGATTGGTTTTGGTTTTTCTATTTTTTTAGGTGAACAATCTAAATGGGCTTTGATTTTACGAATTTATTTGACTTATCCTTTGAGAATTACGTTATATAATATTATCGATCCCATCTTTGTAATTGATTCAATTTTTTAAAAATCTTTTAACAAGTATAGAATTCTAAGGATTTGAATCCAAAGAGAGGGATTGAAGATTTGTCAAGTTTTTACACCCTGAATTGACCAGAATTTGAAATCTGTTTTGTTTTCAATGATAAAAAAAAGTTGATGTTAGAATTTGTTTTTTTTTTCCTACACCCATGCTTAAAAGCTAACTTAAAGAACTAAAAGGAATTAAAATATAGTTAAAATTTAGTGTTTACTGGTAAGTAGATAACTCTTATTTATTATAATTAAAAAATTAACAACTAAATGAAATGAAAAATACGTATTTGTTTGGTTGCAGGTGGGGAAGGGCTTATCGAAGAATGAGAAAGCTCAGAAATTGGCTTTGAGACACTGGCTTGAAGCTGTAAGGCCTTAGACTTCCATAATTGGAAAGTTTATTTCTTCAATTATATTTAAATATCTTTAATTTAGAAATAATTTAATTAAATGGGAAAAGTTGAACGTTATCATCAAAAAATAATAATATATACTTAATATATATATATATTTTTATTTTTTAAAATTTAAATAAAAGTTGTCTGCTGCACTGAAACAGATCGATCCACGTCATCGCTACGGCCACAATCTCCACATTTACTACAATGTTTGGTTTCAAAGTCAAAGCTCACAGCCCTTTTTTTATTGGTAAGTAAAATAATAAAATAATTAACTCTTATTGGACGTGAGTTATTTTATTTTATTTTTAATATCAAAGTCAAATGTTTATTCTTTTGAAAAAATATTCAATTTTAATATTAGAGTGATTAAAGTTTGACATAGGAAATTATTAATCAATTTCTTGCACCCTTTGATTATATTATTATATCTATCCAAAACTTGAACATGACTCGACTAGTGGAAATGTGTATCTTTTACCAATAAAGTTAGGATTTGAATATCTAATTATATTAGCAAATTAACTTGTAAGACATTATACTTATAAATATACTTTACTAATTGTTTTCATCTGTATCTTTTTGACAAATAAAGGTTGGATATCGGAGATGGAAAAGAGATTAATCTCGAAAAGTGCTCTAGAGCTGTTCTACAACGACAATGCATTCAATATCTCGGGCCTGTACGTATCAACAACTTTGATTCTCTTGGTCGATGTGAAGTTTTTTTTTTTGTTTAATTTTAATGATTAGTTATTAATATTTATGAATTTTTATCTCAAAATTATCAATTTCAAAATTAATTGGTAAGGAAAGAAGCACCTTATATATCTTATAAACTTGTCAATCTTTTAGATCTCAAAGAGTTAAGTTTATATGAAAACTTTATTGCTTTGGTGGAGCAGAATGAAAGAGAATCTTACGAAGTGATCGTGAAGGAAGGGAAGCTGGTGTACAAACAAATTGGCATTTTTGTTCACACTCTCAATAATGACTCCAAATGGATCTTCGTCCTTAGTGCTTCCAAGAATTTGTATGTCGGGAAAAAGATAAAAGGACATTTTCAACACTCTAGCTTTCTCGCCGGCGGTGTCACGACAGCGTCTGGCCGGTTGGTCGCCTATGACGGTATTCTAAAGGTATCATATATAATCTTCAAAATATGATGAAAAATACTTAGGACTCGATTGATGAAACCACCCTTAATGTTTGACAATTCAGAGAGAAATGCAAAAATATATAATTTTTTTAAACATAATAAGGAGCTGTCAATTTTTTAATTGGGATTAGGATAGAGTAGAGATAGGTGCTCACCGATCAGGACCTAAATATTTTATATTTTTATTAATGTGGTAGAAAATTAAAATATAAATCACCACTTTTTTTTTTCTCAAACTAAGAAAAAAATTTATTAATGGGTTTTGAAAATGGAACTTTATTTCAGGCAATATGGCCGTATAGTGGGCATTACCGTCCAACCGAAGAGAATTTCATGGAGTTCATTGCATTCTTGAAGGACAACAATGTTGACCTAACAAACGTTAAGGTATAAATTACTTGTTTCTTTACAATGTAAAATTGTATTACTTATATTTATTATTTTTTTTCGTTAAATCATAATGTTTGTCCAGACTTTTAAAGTTGCATCTAAAATATTCTTAAATATTTCAAAAATGTTTAACAAGTCTTTAATAACTTTGTAATTAAACTAAACTTTTAATTTTGATGAGATTGACACTTTTTAAAGTTTCAAAAAATTTATTAGACAAAACATTAATTAGAAAGTTTATGAATTTATTAAAAAAAATTTAAGTGCCTACTTATTGTCCACCAATACAAATTTGACAAATAATTGACATATACCTCAAATAAAGGTTGTGAGTTCGATTCCCCCCTAATATGTTGTATTAAAAAATAGAAATTTGACAAGTAATTAAGATACAAATACAGAAAAAAGAGATATTTTAATGTTTTTCAGAAAACTAAAAAACTATCAAAATTTTATTAGTGATAAGCATGAAGAYAAGTGTTGACCAGTTTAAGTATTSTCAGGGAAACTTATAGTCTAACTTTTATTTTTTTAAAAATATTAGTAAAAACKATTTTTCTTTTTGTTTCAAAAAACTAATTTATTTTTTGGACCAYGCAGAGATGTGCAACAGACGATGATGTACCTCCCAACAACAACGGAAAGAAAATGGACGAAACCACATCATCTTGGAGCACAGAAGAGGAGAAGGAAAACACCCGCGACTCCGCGGCCGCAGCGGAAACCGAACACGGCGGAGGAGCCACCGTGGAAGCTGGCGGAATGAGAAGAAGCAAGTGGACGACCGGCGCCGGGCCTCGCATTGGGTGCGTAAGAGAATATCCGACGAAGCTCCAATTTCAGGCATTGGAGAAGCTGAATCTGTCGCCAAGAATCTCCACGCAACAACCTTTCAACTCCAATATGCCAATTCCATCCCCAAGGCCTAGCCCTAGAATCCACATGTCCCCTAGGCTTGCCTCCATCGTCCTACCGAGTCCCCGAACTTCCCGATAACAATCGTCTCTCGACTTCTCGTCGTTCTTAGTTATACGATTATGTGGCTAACACGATGTAACCTAGCTATGATTTGGTATTATAGAGGTTTAGTTCATTTTTCTTTTTACTAATGATTTTTTAATTGATGTATACGAGTCATTTCTGTTCTCCCAAAAATTTTAAATTTTAATGCTTAAATTAGAAATGTAGGTGAAAATGAATGATGTAATTTGATGAGATTTGTCTTGAGCATCCTTCACATTTGTCGATACTTTATGTTAATATCATTTCAAAATTTTTATACTACTCTTGGCTTTTAGTAAGCGTTTCAAAAATATCATTTGAACAAACATCTGTTAATATTTTGGAAAGAGAGGAAAGGTTAAGGATAATATTGAAATTTTTGAAAAAATATAAGTCTTTTATTTATTTATTTTTGTAATTAAACCTTAAAAAAAGGTAGATTTGTAATTGGGCCGAGGCTGAGGCCCATATTCAAGTTAAAATTGTAATTGGGCCAAGGCACATAGGGAGAAGTATACGAGATAACACAGAATGCAGGCCTGTAAAGGTTTTTCATAAAGCCCATTCCAACTTTATTCCAACGGTACTTTCTTTTAGAAAATTAGAATTTGGGTTTCTTTTTTCTAACTTTAAATTTTAAATTGTAATATTCTTAATTAAAACAGACTAATCAAAATTGTTGCTGTCATGATTTTGTAATTATTTTTCCTCCCACCAACACGTTAATAACCTTAATTTTGTCAAAAAAAAAAAACATTTCATTAAAAATGCTGGGTTCAAGTCTTATTTAAATTATAATACCCTTAAAAAAGCTTATAAATATTATCCGGACTTGAAAATAAAGAATATGGTCTATAACAAATTTGGAAACAGGGATACAACTTTAGAACTCAAAAAATTACTGGTCTATAATAATGTGAAAATATTTTAATTTTCAATATTATTATCTATACAAAAGATATTATATTTAATGTTTATAGAGTAATATTGCACTTTTGGTATAATACAACTGACCAAATAGGTAGTTGGTTAAATCTAAGTATAGATCCTACATTGACAGTAGTTGAGTCGACGAACTCTCTTAAAATTTTTTTCGTCTAAAATTTATGTGGAAAATGATAAGTTGACTCTTACGAACAGCTTGATACACTATCTTCTCTTCAACGTTTTGAGTAAAATATGTCTAAAGGAAGAAAAATCGATAAGAATCACTTATTTTTGTGATTATAAAAGAAACCATACGGAACTTTGACTTTAAGAAGAGGAAAAAGCAAATATGTTTCTACAACCAAAGTTATTTTATATATAATTTTGTAGATATTCCAAAAATAGTGCCATAATCTCTCTCTTCACATTAATTCATCCTATAAAGTAAGATTCCTTCCAATGTTTATGATTTTCATCTTTTTATTTTATTGAGAAGAAAAATTGGGATTTTAAAATTTGAAAATAGAACCTCGGTGGGCCGAGATGTTTGAATATCGAATTAGAATTATTCTGTCGGGTCTGATAACTACTTCTATTTATACATTTATTTGTTTTATTATAGAGTTTTTAAAAACATTTTAAAAATCTAAGTCAAATTTTATTTTTTAAAAAAGTTTTTAAAAATTTATTTTTGTTTTCGAATTTTGGTTCATATTTTTAAATACATTTATAAGAGTGATAAAAAACGTACTAAAGAATGTGAGGAGAAGTAATCATAATTTTTAAAAATAAAAAATTTAGAACAAAATCTTTACCGAACGAGGTCATAATTCTTAAAAACAAAATCTTCAGTTTAAAAAACGAAATTTGAAATTTTAATAAAAAAAATATCCTACCTATACATTTAACTCTAATTTTATAAAGCGAACATGAGTAGCTAATGATAATTGGTATTTACTCACTTCCTTAAGGTTGGAGGTTTGAACCCCATACTCTAATTTGATGTATTAAAAAAAACTCTGTTTTATTAAACCAAACACTTAATTTTGTTTAACCATAAAAAAAAAAAAAATTATCAATAAACATCAAATTATGCCAATCTACTAATTATCCCGGACCGCATGCCATCTGTATTATTGTAATTGCGCATATGTATTATTGTACTTAAAAAAAACTAAACTCCAAATTTAAATGCAGCTAATCAATTAATAAAATAAGTATTTTTTTTATCACTCTTATAGTTGCATGAGATTACTTTTATAAACCTAATTTTTTTGTGTTTTAACGTCTTTATCTTGTTACGGTATTTTTAAATGAGTTTTTTCTTCTTCTCTGGTTGAGAATATAGCATTTCAATTATATAGATGAGAATTCAAATTTTCGATTTTTGAAAAGGTAACTAGTATTTTAATTATTGAGCTACGCTAACCGGATTAAGATAGACATTTATTCAAATTTAGAATCAGATATAAATGAAATTAAAATCTAAGATTAAAATGGACTCATGAATATGTAATAAAAACTTCCCCTAAATCTTGTCTTCAATCATCATGGATTAGAATTTCTCTGTCAAATATTATTTGTTAATTTTTAATTTTAATTCCTAACAATTTATGATGCAAATTGATTCTCTAATTGTGTCATCTTTCTCCTTTTATCATAACTGTACTATATCAAATAAATCAATCCAACTTCTTATCTTTTTCCCTTTCTTTTGTTTTAAATGTATCACATCAAATATAAAATAATAAAAAGTTCCTACAAATTATGTCAAATCAAGTAATAATTAATTAATCGCTTTATTTTGATTGTTTTTAAAATTTTACCTAATTTATGTTTTTTTTAAACGTAATTTTAATTCTAAACGTGCGTTCTTATTAAGGCTTGGTAATCTCCCAATTTCAACTTTTTCTCTAATTAATTTTAATTCTAAACACAGACAATTATTCACCTAATCATTCTTCTTTCCTCTACGTCTGCATGAGCTCACAAAGGCCACTCCAATAGTATACCAAAAAAGAAAAAAATTTGTATTATATTATTATTTCTAAACTCTTATATTATTTTATTTTAGTCACCCAACTTAAAAAAAATACTGTTTTACAGCTTTTATAAGTGGGGTAAATCAACCATATTATATGTATTAATGTAAGAAAAATATCTCTTTTTTTTTTTTTACAGGTGCATAGAAAAATATCTCTTAGTGTAAAGTCTTTTTGATAAAACAATATCCAAAAAATAAAGCTGCTCTTAAACTTTATAGTAATGTTATATTTTTATTTCTAGAACATGAAAGTCTATTTAAATCATTGTAACTAGTTTTTTATTTTTGTTTTCTTTTTTTTTTTGAGTGTTTAGCATATTAACTAGTTATCTATTTCAAGATCTAACACAAGTCTATTATATTCGGTTTTTGTCTATTAATACAATATGGTTTTCCAACTAAATATTAAATTACAGCTATTTTGCCAACATGAACAAGGTAAGCGGTAATTTACATGTACTCCTTTCTTTGAGGTTGGAGGGTTCGATCACCATATCCATTATCCTCAAATTATTGTACTAAAAAAAATACTGCTATTTTTTTAAACGGATAAAAATAAACTTTAATATAAAAAGACATGTAGTAAGTAAATAAATAAATCTAGCAGGTTGAGTTTAATCTGGTAATGCTAAAAATATCATTTGAAAAAAAAGAACAAAAAAAGAGATGTAGCTGCAGTGCTGCATAAAATCAATATAACTTTCTAATCAAATCATGATCGTTCTTCCTTTGTAATTTGGAATCAAATATTCACTTAAATTGATGGAAAAGTTGAATTATATTAAATCTTTTTGACTTTTTGATAAAATAATTTGAACAGAAATGACACAGAATTCCCCCACAAAGTTGACCTAACCATTTACTGCATACAAAGAATTGGTGGATCAATTTTCTAAATAAGAAGGAAAAAGAAAAAACACATAAATTGAGATTATATGTATTTATGTGTATTTATGTTAATATAGATACAAGATGTGCATATCTCAGCTAGTTAAAATATTTATTTCCGATCTAAGAGTCGTGAATTCGAATCTATGTTTATATACGTATGAAGATGTCATGTCATCAATTTTGATAGAGAAAAAATTGGTGTATGTGATACATTTTATTTTAGGAAGAAATTGATTGAGATGGTGCTAATTAGCCTCTTGACCCTAGCTAGTAAAATTAGCCTTTTGAATGAAGCAAATTGATTTGAGATTTGATAAGACATTATTTTAGAAAATAACAATTAATTGAAAAACAACGGAAAAAAAAGTATGCAATGTATGTAACTGATATAATATAGTTGTCACAAATATAATAGTGTGGATTCAAACTTATAGCTATTTAAGAGTAGAGAGATGTCATGATATGAACTGCCTAGCTAGAAAATCACATTATGATACACGTATTTGAGAGTTTTTTTTTAATGTAATTTTATTGCTTTCCTATTTTACCCTTTTACGAACCTATTAATTAGGGGTACTTTTGTCCTTTTTCCTATAGCTGATGATGTGACATCTAAACTTTAGTTGGGAGGCTATCTAAAGTCTTGTCATTAGTTTATTTGGCATATCAAATATTTGATGAATGGAATTTAGCGCCTGAGTTTTTCCTTTCAAATTAGCTAGAAGCTTTTTGAACTTCTGCAAATTCATGTTTTTGAGTTACATGTCAAGAACATTCAAGTAGGATTGATCGTCCTATCTTAGGGAGGATTGACTCTTTTGATCAAGGAACTTGTTCTTATCTCGAGACCTTTGATCTCAAGGCAATCCAATGTACAACCTAAATTTTAGGATTGAAATGAATCGATTTGAAGATTCTAGTGTTTGATTTCTAATTTTATATTCACGAAGGTTTTGATCATATCATGTCACATGACTACTAAACTATTACTTGTTGACATACAAATTGTCACATGTTTTTAACCATCGGATATATAAAAGAAAAAACGAAACTATATATATTGTTAGACTGATAAGCGCCAAGGTTGCTCGGGTTTACAAAATTAGAGGTCCTTCTAGGACACTTACAAACA